TGAGTACAAGTTGGATTCTAATGCCCTCTTACAACCATATTGTGCTTCCTTACTTTCCCACTCTCCCAAAAGACTGTATCATATCTCTTTCCTAAATGCCAAATACCACTCACCCCATCCCTACTCAAGCTAATGACTTTGCTTCTTACTTTACTTGAGAATATGAAAGCAATCAGAAGAGAACTTACACAGTCCTTGCCACGTCTACAGAGGTCTACCAACCCACACAGATGAACTGCAATATGTGCCCACCTCGAACCAATCTTTTCATCTGTACAATTAATCCCATCCCACTTGCTTTTTCAAGAATTTTGCTCCAACTGTTTTCTCCTCTTACCTATATTATAAATTTTTCACTCTATTGGCACACTCCTATCATTGTAAAAACATGATATTTCTATTTTTTAAAAAAGAACTTTTCATTCTACTTCTCATGCTAGCTACTGACTCCCAACCACATTTCTTTGGCCCAGGTGGAGCAAAACTTTGTGAAAGAATAATCTTTCCTCTCCTTTTTTCTGCTCCTCTGAAATGCTGTTGCCGTGATCAGCGATAGCCTCTGCATTGTTAAACCCAGTGGTCTGTTCTCAGCTCTCATCGATTTGACCAAACAGCACCACTAAAAATATCATCATGTCCTCCTCTTCTGCTCCACTTTATTCACTTCACTTCCAGAATGCCACAAGCTCTTTTCTTCCTTCCTTACTGATTAGTCCTTCTCATCTCCTCTGCAACCTTTTCTTCTCCCTAATCACTTCATATTGTAGCATCCCAGTGTGCAGACCTTCACCTTCTCTCCTGGGGTGATCTCAGCTGTCCATAGGGCTTTAAAAACCATCTTTATTCCAATGCTGCATTAGGCTATATTTCCAGTTCTATGCCTCTCCCCAACACCAGATGAGTATATACAGGTTTAATTGATATTTACACTTGAAAGCAAAACAGGTATCTCCAGCTCAGCAGGTCCACACTGAACTCCAGAATTTTCTACCCCAAAATTGTTTCTCTTGCACATTATCTCAAGTGATAAAAACTACATTATTACAGTTGCGTGGGCTGAAGACCTCAGAGTCATCTCAGAGTCTCCTTCTCAAATGCCAGGCATCCCATCTGCCAGCAAGTTGTGTAGGAGGATCTTTCTTCGACTATCTCTTACCATATCCATTGCCACCACCTTTGACAAAGCCATCAACTCACACCTGGGTTATTACTGCATTCTCTCTGTGTCAACCCTTGGTCCCTTACTGTCTAGTCTCAGGACAGCAGTTAGTGTATTCCTTTTATTACTGAGTGCACTAGATCCTCATTTCATTCAGATAAAAAGTCAAGGTCTCATATGGTCTCTTTGTCCACTGCTCTCTCCATAGCTCACTTTTCCAGCCATCCGTGCCTCCCCATTGTTCCCTAAAACAACCAGGCACATTTTTGCCTTGAGACATTTTTACCTAATTCTTCTTTCTGTAATGTTCTTCTCCTAGATCAGGGATCCTCAAAGTCTGATTCCCAAGTCAGCATCAACAGCACCTTCTGGAAAACTTAGTAGAAATGCAAATTCTCAGGCCTCACTTAATCTAGCAAGTTGTATTTTAACACACTTTCCAGATGATGCTGTTGTTACATGCTAACATTGAGAACAATTGTCTTACATGTCTACACAGTGACTTCCTCACTTCCTTCAAGTCTTTGCTCAAATGTCACCTTCTGAATGAGATCTATTTAAAATTACATTCTTCACTTTTTTCATAAAACTGCACAATTTGTTTTAAGTCTGCCCTCTTTTTTCCTTTTCCCATCACCTATATCTTTTCTAAAATACTGTATAATTTACATTTTGATCATGTTATGGTCTGTCTCACCCTCATAAGAATATAAGCTCCATGAGGGGAGTAAATCATTCTGTTTCATTTGATGATTGCAAGTGTCTCAAACAGAACCAGCACACATTTATAACTCAATAAATAACTACTTAATTAATTGAGTAGATAAGTGGAGCTGACTTGGTATAGTCAATGCAAACAACTATACAAGGAAAGCGTGCCTAACTAGCAGGCCAGGAATCCTCTGAGGGAGGGGTCTGTGGGCCTGAGTCGGTAACTAACAAGCAACACTTCATTTCATTGTAATGGGTGTCAAGGTAGAATGCCTATATATATTAACACTGCTGACATTGGACACGTTTTACAGAACAAAGGAATAACCCAGTCTTCTTGACCAGTGTCTATCTTCTTTTTCTCTATCAGTAGGAAGACAACAGAATTCAGGTTGCTCCTTAATTCTCTCAGGCTACAGAAGCACAGCAGTGTTAATGTTTCTGAAAGCCTTCCCTTGGGTACCAAGCTGGTGGGGGTGGGAAATGCACTCACTACATTCCCATGCTTTCCTAAATAATGGCTATCCAGGATACAACTCAAGTTTGGGGAAGCTGCTTCTATGGTTCTTACACCCTCCCTGGGTTTGTTGAGAGAGGAGTATAGTAGTCTTTTACCTTTCTATGTCTGAGCTTTAAAATCTCCCAAACAAAAGCAAGGTAATTTAGGAAGGGGGGAAAAATATTGGAAGAAATGCTGGGAACCATCCCGTCTGGTTTCAAGAACTGTAGCCTTGTTGACAGGCAAGAGGGCCCCAAGGCTGGAGCTAAGCAAGGAGACCTTGGGAAAATAGACCACTGAGGAGACAAAACCTCTCCCCCTGGCAGGGGTCCAGCCCCTGCCTCCCTCACTTCACCCTGCTTGGCCCTGGAGGATGGCTGGTTAGTCAATGATGGGTAGGACCTCTCGATGGCAGGGGCAACCTAAGATAGGCACAGCCACATGGGCATTAGAGAAGAACTTGGGGGACACGAAGAAAGGGCAAAAGATCCTCACCCCTTGGCTTTGATATGGCCGGGGTCCTCATTCTATCTGAAAGAAGTCTCCTTATCTCTTGGGTGCAGCTCTTGTTTCCCTCGCCTGGCTCAGGTTTGAAACAGTACTGGAGACAGCCCTAAACTGGATCGGGCAGTTCCCAGGGGAAATCAGGCCTAGAAGTAAATTCCTTGAAGCACGCTTTGTTTTCCCCTCAAAAGCTATAATTGGCTCATGCTGGGAAGGACATTTACATTATTCACAGACCCTGACCCTAAACCCTTTTTCCGCTCTTATGTTTACGCTCTTAGGTTTACTCGTCTCCTCTCGGACCCATGTAAATCGGTGTGCTCCTGCCATTTGTTTTCTTCAAAACATTATCTATTCTCTGTAAACATTAACATACTGATGTAATGAGATCACCTGTACATGCCTACCACCTAGCCTCCACTGATAAACCTTTCAAAAAAAGCCATTGGACACAGGGACTCAGGGCCTTCTCCACTAGAGGGAAGTGCCACCCCTTTCCCTGGTAGACCAAGAAAAGTGTCTGGGAGGACTTATTTTATTTCCCCACCCGTGACGACCCAGAGTGCAATCGGTGTGACAGAGTCTGCCTTCCGCCTCAGCTGGCGCCTGAACAGGGACCTTCAGGATCCGCGTCACCTCAGCTGGCACCCAACATGGGGCTTTCAGGACCTGCATCACCTCAGAGTGTGCCTTCCACCTCAAAGAAACATTTTTTTAATCCTTACTATGTGCCAACCCCAGAGCTAAATATTTTTGTTTGACATTGACAATACAGCCCAAAGTCAGTGGCTTGTAGCCTTACTACCATTGATACCATGGTAACACTTACAAGTACGTAAGCAACAAAGACAGGAACCTCTGCTTATACGTCACTTCTACTACAAATTTATTCCAAGGAAAGTGTACAATTATGACGTTGATGAATACTCACTCATGGGAACAATGCCAAGAAACATAAGCCTAAATAAATCAGATCAATTTACCGCTACTTATACAAATTCAACACAATATGTTTCTTTGTGAATGTCTAATGTTGGCCTTTTTATTGTCTTTAAAATGGCCTCAGTGTTAGTCTCTCAAATTAACCAACCTAAGTAAAATCACAACTATGTAAAATTTAAAAGAAAAAGAACCTCTTTAATCTCTACCATATACATGATAGTTATATTAATATCATTATACACTTTTGGTTCTCAACCGCCTGATAGCTTTATTCTAGTACAACAATAAAAACTGTTAAGGGGAATGAAGAAATCACATAGGGATTAGTGCTCTTAGCATTTAACAGCGTGTTGGAGCCCTGATGCTTGTTTGCCTTTACTTGGAATAAGTATCTAAGGGAAAATTAAGTTCTAAGCAGAGGCTACTATTTTAAATCCCAGAGAGGGCTCCTGGGAATAGTTTGGCCTTTTTTGTGACAATAGATATTCTGGTGAAGTATGGTGTTCCCTAATGAAAAAGACCTGGCACTGCATCATATGATAAAACTTGACCAATGCAAGGAACATGATGATTAGTTTGGGAACGAGTGTTTTAATAAAAGAAACATGAAGTCGGCAGTGCTTTGGCAGGACCTACCCCAAACCACCCTGAGAGCTGCCGTCCTGGCCCACAGCTGATCCCTACCCCGCTACAACTGCACGCGTCCCCACTGACGTCACCGACACTGCTGGCACGGGAACAAGAGCACAGTCTAAAAACAGTCATGTCGAATTCTGCTTGGTTAAAAGTCACATGAAAAACATACCAACTTCCTCACCTTCTGTCTCCCCTTCCCCATGCTTTCCCCCAAAATCCCAACCCAGGAATGGATCTCAGACTCCTCAGAGCTATTCAATATGTACATTTCTAGACAAGTGTAGAAAGGCAAAGGCAAATCTTTTAAACTAGTGATGCAGTCAAATGAAATAAATGTACAACAAAGAAGATGCAAAATACAGTCTTTGAATTACACAGGTTATAGGTTAGGGAGCATTTTGAATCTGGAGTAAGAGGTCAGCTAGTTCAGAAGGAGGTGACACTTGTGTTTAACTATATTTTATAAAAAGATACCAATGCACTAAGACTTTTACTATACTGATAATATTGAAGTTTACATGTTCATTAATAAGAACTAGTTTACATTACCCGCATAAATGCTTGACGTGTGCTACAGCTAGCTACCGTGCTTGATACATTCATCCTTCCTGTGACCATATCAGGTGTTCCATTAGAAGAAAAGTAAAACCTCGATGGAGACTCCGCCTTTCTGTTTACATCCAAACTCATGTTGTAGTACAGGACTGCAAAAATGCAGAGAGAACTGCCATTAATACAAATAATTATCCAAAAGCATTTACAAAGTTTCTTATTTTTGAAGTGATAATAGTCAAAGTTACAGAGAATATTGGAAATAGCTTCATTAAATAGCTTTTAAAAAGTAACCTGAAACATGACAGAGGAAACAACTTAAAAATATAAATTTCAAAAGTTATTTTTATAAAGAAAAAATTTATAAACTTTAGGTTTCTATTTTTTACAATATTAAATTCTTTAGTTATTTGCTAAATCCTCCTATGTATAAATGTTCCAAAACAACAATACCAAAATTGTTACTAATAATAAAAGTCCTAAGTAAAGTTTCACATTTCTTGGGAGTCCTTTTTGTCCTTAGAACATTTGACTAAAGAAGTACAGGCAGGGTAATGTGCTCAAATGTCACTTGCGATATTTCTATCTTGTGTGGTTATATAATTAATTTCATATGGTGTTAGGTTCATTTATTTCCATTTGTTTCCAATTTGGGAGGTTGATATTTTTCTTTTGATTTACTCATTGATTTTTTTTTTAATGTAAAGTGAACACATGATTCAAAATTCAAACCTTTATAAACAGTTTACTCAAAGACATCTTTTCCAGCCCTAGGCCCTGATTAGTATCCTTTATGTTTTTATTGGTTTCTAGTTGAACTTTGAGTGCTGACTTATTAAAAAAAAACAAAAACAAATATAGGCAGGCATTCTCTAAATAAATATTTTGGCAGTTCAGAACTTATTTAAAATCTGACATAGTAAATAATCTATCTGCTAATGATCTTCAAAAAGCAAAAAGATAAGGAAAATTTACAAGCAACCAGGAAAATTCCAAGCCAGATCTTATCCAGAATGTAAAAGGGATCTTTGCAAAATAAACTCAATCTGATTGTTTGCTGATTTGTCACTCATACAGGACCAATAATTCATTAAGTGATATTTTGAAGAATATATATAATTCCTGAGGAATTCATTTACATTTTAGGAATAACTAACTCTTCTAGAAGGATGCTGTCTACTTATTTCAAGGAAATCTAAGTATAAAGCCTATACTACTCCACAAATTTCAAATACATCTGTCAATCTTCTTTTTATTTAACATGCTTAATGTGAATTATTTCTCCCCAGGAGTTATTTTACAACAACTGTAAGGAATGTTTTTGTAACAATGCTGTGACTATGAATTTCATATTTTTGTTTTCAACCAATTAAAAAATACCTGGTCACAATGAATTGGTGGTACAACAGTGATTTTACATAAAGGGAAATAATCCTATGGATTTAACAAGTATCTTTCAGATAATCCATCAGCTTCTCTGTGTTCCTGTGTTACTGGTGTCACGCCCTTACATTGCCACTTTTCCAATCAAGTACCAGATGAAGGTTTTGCCTGCAGTCCTATCACTGCATCTCTAGCCAGGACTTTGCAGAATGCTATAAAAAATGACCGCAAGTAGAGATGCTGGGCTCATTCTGTACTTCTCTTCACAGGCTAATTCAGACTGGGACATCTGTTACATTATCTATAGCTCAGCTCAGTATTCCTTGCCCTTCATGATGTTTAGATGATAACAGCCTGCAGGGTTGTGAATACATTCAACTCTTGAGAGCCCTTGTGGAGCTCTTGAACTTTGTGAATTACTCAGGTCCAAGTGATAAACCCAGGTATGCTTCTCCTCTACCCTAGGCTATTAGTACTTACTCTCATATTAGCTTAAATACGACATAATTAGGAATATTAACTTGTTGGTAAAATATACTTATGGAGTCACATATTTATGATTTGGGATTAACCACAATTTTGCGTAAGCCATATCAACGCTACTCTCTGCAAAGCGGAAAACTGAGAATTACCTATATATAGAAAAATGGGCATGAGTGATCAGTTGCTGAGAGTCATGATAAATCCTTAACATATGTGTGGTACTTGTGAAAATTAGAATCAGGATGTAGACCTCAGATATCCTTCTTCAATTACTCAAACTGGACAGGACATAAAGATAAAAACCTTCTCTCTTCCTACGTGTCCAACTTAAGCCAACACCAGGCTTTAAGGAGCCCAGTAAGAGAGAGGAAGAGCTGTGGTGATCTTTCTATTCTAAAGGGCACTTACATATTAAGTTCAGTTAGTTCACTTTAAATAATACATCAAGTGATACTCTTGACTTGCTTCTTATTACAACCTCTAAACAACTGGAGCCTCTCAATGTGCCCCACTCATCAGGTAGAATAACGAGAGGATCCGAAAGATGGGGAAGAAGGGTGTGCTACCAGGTGACTGCTCTCTCCCCGCCAAAGCAGCCCTCCATGGTGAAACAGTGAGGGCTCAAAAGGTGATTGTGAGATTGATGAGTAAAGCACATACTTTATTATTTTCTAAGGGCCCCCTTACCAATATAACCTGGAACTGCTTTGCCCTTGTATGAGAAACAGAGTGTTAGCTCCACGCACACAGAAGGCACTCCATTTTCAGAACAGTTAAGATTTGTTCTATTTACTGACTCAGGATGCTTTAAAGAAGCTTCAACAATCAGTACAGGTCTTGTTCTAAGGAGGAAATGAAATTAGTAATATTAATTACAGAATTATTTTTCCTTAGGAAAAGAATTGCATTTGCTTTGTCAGTTTCCATTGACCAAGTAATTTCATGAAACTGCTTTATTAAGAGTATGTGCACATAAACTCAATTAAATTTCCATGACTAAATCAAGAGGAATTTTCACATAAATTTCTAAAAATATTGACTTTTTCTGATTACATTAACTATATCTATGTAAGGTGAGAAAAGTATCCTGAGGTTCAACAATTAAATCTCAGAATACCAAAAGGAGCATTATGAGGTCACCACCACTGCTGATTTTTCAAAATTGACTCCCATCCTTTACAGTTAAGCCCAATTGTCATTAAGCAGTGAAATGTATCAACCTTACCTTAGCAACACCACAGAATCAGACCGAAAAGCACCAACTGCTACATCTGGCGGGTGAAAAACAACATGGATTAGTGGTCATCATTAGTCAAAGAGAATTACTTTTCACTCAGAAATACTTAACTACATATCACCTTTTGACTATACCATAACACTATTTATAGAAAATTAATTAGAAAAATATGCTTACATCTTAGGATTCATTCCACATTTGTCTGAATTTACTCAATTACAATGACATTCATTAATTTATAACATAATATAAACAAACTTATGATACAAATGAAAATCCAATTTTTGGACTAGAAATATTCACGCAGAAACCTTTCAAATACAAAAAAAAGAATCATCTTTCTTTTCATCATTTGTTTCATTTATGCATACTTTTATGGGTGCTTTTAATTTTTTAAAGGAGAATAAAATATTAAATAACTAAGAGTGTAAAACTCAGGAATTACTTGATCATTTCAGACCCATTCTTGAATTCAAAAAAAGCTTTAAAAATGAAGGAAAAAGTGTATCAGTAAATTAGATACATTAGATACATAAGCTGGGACTTCCATGCCATCTTATGTACTTTTTAATAAAGCAGCATCCACAATAGAGCTTATTCCAATATATAGAATAGGGTAAATTTTATACTCACCTACGTATCCATTATTATCCACATCAATTTGCCCAGATACAGACTGTCCAAACATACTCAAGGATGTACTGATTTTGCGCCCCTCAATTCTCTGAAAAATAGATGAGCTGAGTGAGAAGTGTTTTTGAACTCCTAATCTTCCAGAGAAGCAACGATTTAGTTAAAAATAAGCCTCCCGACATTCTGGCACATCTATGAACAGAACTTTAGTTAAGTCAAATCCTTGTACCTAAGAGAAACAAACGTTGCCAGCTTTCAGTGGGTGGTTGACATAGATTTCATGATAAGAAAAAATTACTTTGTTTACTAGCAAAGAGGAAGGATGTAGTACAGATCTTTTGCAACAGTCCTGACCCCCTCTCCCCAGTCTTTTTTCAGGCTCTGTATTCATTCCCCTGACCAACATGAATTACCAAACAAGTAATCTGAAAAGTAAGACATTTCTAATGACTTAGTGGAGCCGATAACATAGGCTTATGATGAAAGCCACCCTGTTTAGCCCAACTGTTTCAGAGCATTGACAAGGACAACCCAAGTTATTCCCTTCCTATTCCATGTGTCTAATTTCAGGTGTAGATGGTAATTTATAGGTATCAGGCTGCTATCCATACTTAGAAAAATCAGTATTTTTTAGTAGACAAATGCGCACCTTTCAGGCTAAATATGGAAAGCCACCTGCCTATTTTTATCCAATCAGAAATAACAGTATCGCTAATGTTTCCATAAAGTTTCTTTGGAAAAGCTTTTCTTCTCTGCATGTGTATGTAGTTCTTTTTCTGTGCACTGAGATGGCCTATACTTCAAAATATGAAAGTGAAGTCAGAGTTAGCTCAGGGAACCTTATTAAAGTGCTATTGTCTCACTGCTTTGTGCCAAAAGGAACACAGAGTATCATGTGAGTGTTTGCTCTCCCTGTGTGATCTCCATGAAATATGGGACTGTAGCCACAAGACATGACACAGTTAATCAAATCCAAATGGGCTTATTTGGAATAGTATAGATATTACCTCAGAACATAAATTTAATGAAATGCAGAGAGGAATCTTTAATAGGTTAAAGACAAACTGGAATGAAAGTGAACTGGAACTCTTATTTATGGGAAAAAAATGGTTCCAAAGACTTATTATTGCTGTTAAAGATAAAACCATTTACTATAATGATTAAAAATGGTGGGATAGAATAGTAAGCATTTGAATGAGCAAATTAAGAAAAAATAAGTCCACACTTACAGTAGAAAATTTAACAAAGCTTTTATTACCAATGCTTCTTTTGAAAATAGAATTGTCTCCTACCTGTGAGAAGGCCGATGAGATCCCATCTGCTCGGCCGTTGTAAATATAAATAGCTCCTTGCAAGTCATCTTCTTGTGGAGCTCCAATAGCAACATCTATTCAAGGATTTAAATGGTGGAAACATAAATTCTTGACACAAGGAATGCAACTTTGAAAACTAACCTTCATGCTCCTTAATTTATATCACATAATTCCTTAGGTAAAAAATCAAACTCTTTTCTCATTAGAAAAAAGAATTTCAAAATACCAACATCATTACAACAATGTTCAGGGTTGTACAGAACAGTGGGCGTAAGGAAGAAGCAGAGTGACTGGGTCTGAGAAGCCGTCCAACAGTATGGGCAAGGGCACAGGCTCTGCGGCCAGAGCCTAGCCCTGCTGCCGTACTGTTACGCTGGGCCCAGTTCTTAACTCTGTCTCATCTGTTTCTTCGCCTGTAATACAGATCATAAGAGGACTTGCTCTCTCAGCATAGGACATTTTGCATCTAAAGAGCAGCACCTAACTGTTAATAAATTACCATCACTTATGAAAGGCATAACCAAAGAATCCTTGAATTCTAGGCTTTATTTTGTTTGTGAAATAACTTCTAAATTAACTCCTGTTCCAATGAAAGTAGTGCATTTATTCAGAGTATCCATACACACACACACTCTCAAGATTTCAGAAAATGAATTTGTTCTATAAAATACTCACTGCATCACCTTTATGACTTTATCAAGACTCACATCAGATTATGATACCAGGAAAAAAATAAAAGATCTGATCAACTCACATTAAGGAAAAAAAAAGCCAAGAGAATATAGAAGCTATGAATGACATGGTTGCTATGTGCTATAAATACATAGTACATAGAGGAAAAATTCTACAGTTGCAAGAGCATTTCATTATTTACTAAGTATTATGTCTATTTATTTGGGTATATTCATATTATTTGTTTATATGCAATGCTTTATTGTTACTTTAATAGAAACCTAAAACACAGAAAGTTTGCTTTTATGATATTCATTTCTTATCACTGTTCATCAGATCTAAAACCTTTTTAACTACTACAGTGGTAATTTTTGGCTGCTATTTCAATGCAAATAAAATCACCTTTAATATACAACTTTAGGCAAAATACTGTGCAATTCTATTTTTATTTTTTTAAAGATTTTATTTATTTAATTTTAGAGGAAGGGGAAGGGAGAGGGAAAGAGAGGGAGACAAACAGCGATGGGACAGAGAAACATCTATCGTTTGCCTCTCGTACGTGCCCTGACTGGAGACCAAACCTGCAACGCAGACATGTGCCCTGACAGGGAACCAAACCAGTGATCTTCCATTTTGTAGGATGATGCCCAACCACCAACGGAGCCACACTGGTCATGGCCAAACACTGTGCAATTTTAAAACTGCAAAAGCTTTTCCGTTTTTATCTAAACATAACAGGTTGACACACCTTATACTTATTTTGTTTAGACCTATTAAGGCTACACTCCTTAACTTGTACAAATTATTTTAAGTGTTCATATATAAATATACCCATTCATTTGTTCAGTCGGTGGACAACTACTGAGCACCTGCTGTATTCTAAGCATTTGCTAGAGGCTGACAATACAGGGCAGTTACAAAAAAGGAATTGATATTCTAGTGGGGAAGAAGAACACGTAAAAGCAGAATCATAAAGCAACATGCAAGAAGGTGATGGAAATTACAGAAGACTCCACAGATGACATCCAAGCTCAGACTAAAGTGTTGATAAGTCACAGTCAGGTGGCCAAAAGGGAAAAGATGTGTAGACCGAGCAAACAGCCTGTTTGCAACAGAGAAGCAAAAGGCAGCATGGCACACGTGGGGACTGGAAATTAGTTCGGGAAACCTGGAGCCATGTGTGTGCAGACTAAATGCATGTAGAAACATAACAGGAAAGTACAAGAAGAAGAAAGTACAAGAAAGAAGGGGAGAAGAAGGTCAAGAATGGGAGAGATTGGAGAACTATCCTGCAGCCATGGAAGATAAGACCAGTTGGTAATTTCCTGAATCAGGGATGCGTATACACCTCAACCACTGTGGCTACTCCTCAGTAACTAGAATTCTAAACCTTGACACTTGGTGATAATATGTGAAAAGATAACAAGTCTGTGTTATGAAGCTGTTGATACACTGACATTCTTGCAGGATTAGTTATTAGCTCTAGTGATCTATTTTGAGAAAAGTATCTTGAAACAATACAGATGAAACTTTTTTGCTGAAATAGAAGAAAAGACCCAGATAAATTAAATTCCAAGCAGAAGACATTTGTGTATATTCAGTCTTTGGTTATTTTATATATAGATCCAAACTCTTACTTACTATACACATACACATACACATACACATACACATACACATACACAAATATATATAGAATGTTTCTGCAACTCAATTTGGGACACTACATACAGAAAAAGCACTGAGATGTTTGACAACTGTTTTTACTTTTCATCTGAACATTTCATTTATTTCATTCTGTTAGTATAAATCATAATTATCATTAGTATAACCATAATAACCTTAATGTCAACTAACACATACAGTGTTTACAATGTACTCACTGTGCTGGGGGCTTTATACATGTTAATGTATCAAATAAATATTTCTAGAACCCCACTTTAACTGATGAGGAAAGCAAGGCACAGGGTGTAACTTGTTCAGGGTCATACGGCCAGGTGCGGTGAAGCCTGGGGCCCGGGATTAAACCCTGCAGTCTGGCTCCAAAGCCTGTGCGCGGCAACACTACGCTGGACACAACCATCAACAGTAGAGGTTACAGGAGGAAGAGCAGTCCAAGATGGTGGTGCGGAAGACCCTGAGCTCAGCTCCTCCCACAGGCACACTAAATGTACGGTTACATATGTAATGATTCCCTCTGAAAAAGACCTGAACATTAGCTGAACAGCTCCTACACAGTAAAGGATAAAAGCGCCACACTGAGAGACAGGTAAGAGAGGCCGAGCACGTTGCCAAAAACCCCACCCCTGGCGCAGTGATCCACCACTGGAAGGAATCACACAAAGCAGGAGCCTCTGCCTAAGTGAGGAGTTTGTTCCCCAAAACAGGAACCCCAGCACTTGGAACCCGCACTGAGAGATGGGCCCACAAAATGTCTGGTTCTGTAAAACAACGAGGCTTACAGCCAGGACACCGAAAGGGCTGTGGGGAACTGACATACAGCTCTTCAAGCCCTCGCACGAATTCTCTCTCCATCGCGCCCAGTGCCAAAGCGGCAGTTTGAAGAGTGCCTCGGCAATTTTGAGGGAAATCCATTTGCTAATTTTGAAGAGTCTATCCGAGGACAGGGGCCTGTTGAGACTCCCTGGGAAGGAGGTGCCGTTGGGCACCATTTGTGCACTCTCGTGCGACCTTATTAGGGCAGGCAAGGGCTCCTGCAGGCTCCCACTGCCCTGCTAACACCAGCGGGCACCCCATCCCCGAACTCTCCAGCTGCCCTGCTAATGTCGCCAGGTCTGCACGGTTCCTGCATTCTCCCACGGCTCCGCTGAAGTCATCGGCAGAAGTAAATGGTTACCATGCCCTGCTAAAGCTGGCAAGTGAATTCAGTTCCTGTATTTTTCATGCCCTGCTAAAGCCTTGGTCACCTGGTTCTTGTGGGTTGAGTTCTTGTGTTCTCTGAGTCTCACAAGACTGTAACAATCACAGAGACAGTTCTTGAAAACTATATATGGAACATCCCATCCAAGAAGACAATACAGATTCTTGTCAAGTACAAATGAAACGTTCTCCAGGACAGATAAATTAAGCCACAGAGGCGGTCTTAATAAATTTGAGAAGATTGAAATCGCATCCAACATCTTTTCTGACCACAATGGTATGAAACTGGGAATCAATTACAGGAACAAAACTGAAGAAAAAAAATCAAATACATATAAACAACCTGCTACTGAACAACCAATGGGGTCAACAAAATAAATGAATAAATAAAAAGAATCATAAGATATAACTATAGACAATTATATGCCAAAAAGTTGGGTAGCTTAGAAGAAATGGATAAATTCTAGAAACATACAATCATCCAAAACTGAACATGAAATAATAGTAAATCTGAATAGACTGATTACTAGTGAGGAGACTGAATTGGTAACTGAAAACCTCCCAAAAAACGCAAGCCTAGAATCAGATGGCTTCACTGGTAAATTCTACCAAACATTAAAAGGAGATTTAATACCTATCCTTCTCAACTCTTTCAAAAAATTGAAAAGGACAAAGTGCTTCCAAACTCATGTTATGAGACCAGCAGTATCCTGATACTAAAACCAGACAAGAACACCACACACACACACACTCAAATTACAGGCCAATATCCCTGATGTAGACAGATACAGAAATCTTCTATAAAATATTAGCAAATCAAATTCAAATGTATGTGAAAAGAGCCATGCATTCTGACCAGGCAGGATTTATGCCAGGGACGGAAGGATGGTTCAGCACTCACAAGTCAATCAACAGGATACACCAAACTAACAAAACCAAGGATAAAAATCATATGATCATCTCAATAGATGCAAAGAAAAAAGCATTTGACAAAGTTCAACATAGATTTGTGATAAAAATGCACAATAAAGTGACCCTAGAGGAACATTCCTCAACATACATGAGGAGTCCATAGCTAACATCGCAGTCAGCGGAGAATAGCTGAAATTTTTTTCATCTAATATCAGGAGAAATTCAAGGATGTCCGCTTCCGCCACTTTTACTTCACATAGTATTGAAGTCCTAGCCAGAGCAATTAGGCAAGTAAAAGAAAAGAAAAGGCATCTGCCCTGGCTGGTGTGGCTCAGTGGACTGAGCGCTGTCCTGCAAACCAAAAGGTTGCATATTTGATTCCTAGTCAGGGCACATGCCTGGGTTGTAGACCAGGTCCCCAGTGCGGGGTGTGTGAGGGGCAACTGATCAATGTATCTCTCACACATTGATGTTTCTCTCCCTCTTTCCCCCTCCCTTCCCCACCTCTAAAAAAACTAAATAAATAAAATCTTTTTAAAAAATGCATCCAAATTGGACAGGAAGTAAAACTATCACTATTAGCTGATTATATGATTTTATATATAAAAAACCCTAAAGACTTGACCAAAACACTATTAGAACTAATAAATTCAGTAAAGTTGTAGGGCACAAAATCAATGTACAAAAATCTGTTGTGTTTTCTATACACTAACAAATTACTAGAAACAGAGGTTAAGAAAAGAATCCCATCTACAATTAATTGCATAAAAAGAAATGAGTAAAATATCTAGGAATAAATTTAACTAAAGAGGTGAAAGACATAAACATTGAAAACTTTAAGACATTGGTTAAAAAAATGAATACAAAAATAAATGGATAGGTACTTTGTGCTCATGAATTGGAAGAATTAATATTGTTAAAATGTCCATACTACCGAAAGCAATCTACAAATTCTTCGCAATCACCAGCAAAATTCCAGTGGCCGTTTTTCACAGAATTTTTATAAAATTCTAAAATTTGTACTGAAACACAAAATACTCTGAATAGCCAAAGTAATCTTAAGGAAAACAAAGCCAGAGGCATCATGCTTCCTGATTTCAAACAGTATTAAAAATCATAGTAATCAGACCTGGGTGGTGTTGCTCAGTGGATTGAACACTGGCCTGCGAACCAAGGGGTCCCTGGCTCGATTCCCAGTCAGGGCACATACCTGGGTTGTGGGCCAGGTCCCCAGATGGGGGCGCACAAGAGGCAAACACACACTGATGTTTTTCTCCCTCTCTTTCTCCCTCCCTTTCTCTAAAAATAAATAAATGAAATCTTTAAAAAGGAAAAAATGATATTGGCATAAAAGCAGACACATAGATCAATGGAACAAAAGAGATTCCAGAAATAAACCCACACATATATGGTTAATTAATTTAAGAATATACAATGGGGAAAACCAGTCATAAATGGCAACGGAAAAACTGGATAGCTTCATGCAAAAGAATGAAACGAGACAACTATCTTATACCATACACAAAAATTAACATACCATACGCAAAACATCTATCACAATATTTTATATTTTAATATAAAATGTTATTTGTGTAATCATCACCATAAAATATATACATATACTTAGCTCTATTTTTTTTAAATAGAGTAAAATAATTCCAGAAATTTAATGTTTGTATACCAAATCACACTAAAAGCATATGTTCAACAACCCACTAGCTTTCTCCTGGCAGAGTAATATTTTAGACATTTAAAGTAGCATGAAGCCCTTAGGCATAAGAAATTAAGGAAGTGAGAATGTATAGTACTCACTTCACTAATTTTACCCACTAACTTTCTCCTTGCAGGGTAACATTTTAAACATTTAAAGTAGCATGAAGCACTTAGGCATAAAAATAAATTAAGGAAGTGAGAATGTATAGTACTCATTTCACTAATTTCGAGTATGCATGTAAGATTTGACCTGGAATTACCACACACCGATTGCTAATGGTCATGTCAAGAGACAGACAGAATTCTAGCTCTGAAAATAAGTATCAAATACTTATTTGCTTTACTCTAGGAATCACACCTATTCATCATTTTATGCCCCATTATAACAGCCTTTGTTATCATTCAGTGCCAGAGTGAAAAAAAGCAAATTTTAGGAGGGAAGGCTGTTAGAGACAAGGACCTCCACAGCAGGGCTGATTGATCCCCAGCCAATAGGCAGTTATGATGGTACCATATATTCCATCATTGAAATTGTTCCATATCAGTTCATAAATAGCCACTGTCCCTAAGTGTGTTAGGTGCACCCTCACCACTGCTCAGGAACCAATCCTGGGATCCCTCAAATCCTCCCACAATGCATCAGCTGAACAAGGAATTCCTGGCATAGTAGGGAACCTCCCGAACCTTGCTCCAGCTCTGCAGCCAGCCTCCAATCGGTTCTGTCATTGTCTTTACTGTACTGATAGTTAAAGAGCATGGTCCAATGAGTCTATGATATACATTTTTTTCACATCTTAACATTTCTGAAATCAGAATCCTTTTTAAAGTAGGAAAAAAGGCAGGTCACAACTTTATAGCATTTTTAGGGGCGCAAAAATGCCACTCATAAGTAATGGTGGCTTAGAATCAACAACGTAAGGTATTTTGAATAGCATCCTTTATTAACAACAGTAAGAATCAATAGCTGACAACTGAGGAGAAGTCAGGTATAAGACTAAAAGAACTCAGCATACCATTCTGGCTCCATTTTACACAGAAAGACAGAAAACATGAAACTCCAAACATATTCTCTTCCATGTACCATTTTAAAAGTGGAAATCAAGGACCAAGTTGGACACTTTTAATTACCTTCAAAGCCATCATTATCAATGTCACCAAGATTAACTATAGATTCCCCAAATCTTGCAGCATATTTGTCACTTCCCATGAGCTCTGTTTCCATTTCATTCATTATTGCTCCCTGGATAGAAAAGGGGAGAAAGGTGTCACTATAATACTCCCTGACAACTTTACACATGATTTACTGTTGTAATTGGATATGGATTTTTTTCTAATGCTTTAAACAAATTGGACAAACTACAGACTAAGCTTTAGTACACACATCTTAGTTCAATTCAATAAATATTTATCAAGTATATGTCAACACATAATAGTATGATTGGAGCTCAGAGGATATAAAAAAATTGTCAAACTCGTGATCCCTAGCTTTAAAAATCCAATAAATCATTTTGATAATTCAATTTAGCAAACATTTATCGAGTTCCTACAGAAGGCACTGCACTGTGCAAAGAATGAACAGGTGAAAGGGGACAAGGCTGTGTGTTTATAGAACACACTTCCTTTCTTGAAGAAGCCCAGAGTTGCAGGAGAGGCTAAGCACAAGTATGTGAGTGACCTAGAAGTACAGCTTGCTTTGCAATATCAAGAAGGAGAGCATATCTAATTGTGAGAGCTAGGAGAGATTTCATAAATGCCATTCAAGGAGGCTGTTGAAAGATGAGCATACATAGAGAAAATTACCAGCAAAACACAAATTCCAAAGAATGTGGCTCTACTGAACAGTATGTGTAATGAATGAGACTGAAAAATTCAGATCGGAGCCTGGGGGGCAGGGGGACTGTGAATGCTGGGGGAAACTGACTCTCAATTTACAAGACAAGAGGAAGCCACTTGAGGTTTCTGAGTTAAGCAGTGAGACTACTGAAGCTGGCCTTTGGAACCCTTTCCCTGCAGTAACGAAACATGGATTGGTCAACTGCTGTCTCTGAAGTTAGAAGATGAGTTACCACAATAAGACATTAAGTAATGTTGCAATAACAGCTAACAGACCCTCTAAACTTTGATCATGTCACTCCCTTATACAAAAGAAAAAACCCCCTGCACTACTTATCAGAGACGCTTTACCTCTTCTCAAGTAGTCTACTCATCACTCCTGAAGCACAAACATATTCTTCCCTTTGGCAAGTGCCCTTCACCTTTTACTTTCCAACAAAAAAATCCCTATACTTATTTTGATCCCAGAGAAATGCGTAATTTAAACAGCAAAAGGCAGAAGAGATTCTAACGAGAATGAGAAGATGCAGACCTAAGAAAACTCAATGGCACTGAGGTTCCAGGGGAGAGTTTCCAAAAGTGGCAATCACTCTTCTTCAAGTATTCTCCAGTCACAGAGAATGGTGACCAAAAATTTGCTGGGGACCCCTGAGAGCTACTTTAGTAGAAGTTGGTGGAAGCCATGTTCATTCAAGTACCATTCTTTCTTGAGCTCATTCAAAAACAATTACTGAGCACTTTGTCCAGGACTCTTTCAGGCCCTGAAGAAACAGCAGTAAACAAGACAGCTGATCCCCTTCCCCACAGTGCCCACGTTCAAGTAGATATTAGCAAACCAAACTAGCAAGTACGTAATATGATGCCATTGTGGTAGTGCTTATCAGTGTATAAAACAGGAAGTTAGAAGGGAGCAAAGGAAGAATAATCTATGCTGGGGCAGGTTTTAAAAGCTGAAATGAATTATGAAATGAACCCCAGTGTTTGATAGTGGTGTCTGAGGGTAGGAGTGAGGAAAGAACAAAAGACTTGTGCATAGGGCTCCTCTCTTGTCCTTTTAGCAAAGGAGCTCCAGTTTCATGTTTTTCATATTGGGGTTGCTTGATTTCAACAGGTAAAAAGGTCATATATTGCCTTAGTTTAGGTATATATGTTATTGTTTAAACTATTCTAAAAATTTTAGTGGAAAGAGAAGTATGCAGAATGAGGCCGTCGCTATTATAAGGAAGACCATTTATGAGTAGGGAAATATAAAACAATCTCTGCAAGGAAAAAATAATAATACCTGATATCACATTAATGTTGTACAATCACTTTGTAGATAATATCCTTTTACTATTAAGTTTAGACTTACACACAGTCTAGAAAATGCCAATGCATAAATATCTTTCCTGCTCTACATCTGGAACTTTCAGTATCTCTCAGTTTTATAAGACTATGTCCTCCTAAAATTTAGAAAGTTTAGTCTGATGCTTAATATATAAATTTATTAAATGCTCTGAAATCATTGATTAAATAAGATTACAAATACCTTCTTGAAACAGATTTTAGTTTGTTGAATCCTGATTGAAAATTCTGTGCCTTAAGAAATGACCTAATGTTCTCACAAACCCATTCTTGCTCTTAAATCGAGGGCAGGCCAAAAAAGACCTCATTAAGGCCCTATCAATTCTTTGCTTTGATTTAATGCCAAGAAGATAAACTAGCAAGACAAGGCCAACAGAAATCTTTTAATTGACCTGTCAAGGACTCAGCTTCTACTTCCAAATATTCCCTGTAATGAAAAACTCAACAATCAGCAACAATTATGTATTTCTATAGCTATTATATCCACTTTGGAATAAATTATACCAATTTTATATCCTTATCAAGGATATAATCTATATTAACTGTGCAAATTAACATTTTATCAAAACATGTCTTGCCCTGACTGGTATAGCTCAGTTGGTTGAGCATTGTCCCACAAAGCAAAAGGCAGCCAGTTCGATTCCCAGTCAGGGCAAATGCCTGGGTTGTGGGCCAGGTACCCGGTTGTGTTGGGAGGCATGTGAGAGGCAACTGATTGATGTCTCTCTCACACATGGATGTTTCTCTCCTTTTTTTACCTTCCTTCCCCTCTTTCTAAATAAATAAATAAAATCTTTTAAAAAAACATTTAAAAAAATTGAAAATTTCTTGTTTTATCTTCTATGCTAGTAATATTTTATAATTATTAAATTATATAAGGATATTCATTATAAGAAATCCACATTTTGAGGGAAATAAATATCATTCTCTCAAATTCTATTTCTGTCATAACAAAAACTGAAGGAAGTTTCATCTATTTAAGTGAATACATACAAACTGAATAGAGAAACTACAAAACAACTGATCACATACTTCAGGAATATCAAAATGGGACAGCTGCCCATTTACCACCATGTTCCATTTCATTTTTAGAGTAGTGGTACAATACCAGAATTTTTACTTTTATCAGTAAAATAAGCCCACAAACCTATAATTTCAGAACTCTGGAATACATAATCCCAAACATAATCCCACAAGGGGCTCCCAGTTTGGGGGACATTGGACTCACGAAGCCAGAGTTGATGTACACAAACACTCTTCCTTCCTCCCTGATGGCGCTCTGCATAGGAGCCCCCACGAGTAGGTCTGAGAAGCCATCTGCGTTGAGGTCCACCGCACAGATGGAAGCTCCAAAGTAAGAGCCAAGCTGCTCCAAAGCAAACCAGATCCAGATGTTAGGAAAAAAATAGGGTTATTCACAAAAGCCCTCAGTGATAGCAAATGTAGAGCCATATTACCTTTTTACCTTTCATTTCATATAAGATAGTTAGTTCTTTTGCATCAATGCTGAATATGTATGCCTGCAATTAGAAAAAGAATTAGAAAAGATTTGACTGCTGTCCCACTAAAAAAGTTTTCATTTGAGCAAAATATCAATTTTTATAACTTGTAATTGCTTTAATATATATTTTTAAAACCCTTTCATAGTGATACTAGAGGTTTAGGCAATCATGTTCAGATTACCATGCCTTCTTTGCACAATTGCCTTCCTGGGAACTCTCTTGTGGGTCCCTGAGAGGGAGCCCAGAAAGCATTGTGTACCTCACTTTTCAAAGTAAGACTCAGAAAAATTAGTGACATTTACACAGCAATGTCAATAACATCTTACTGTCTTTATTCTTACCTTAAAACATGTAGCTGCCTCAATTTCCTTTCACTTGTAAACTTATTAACCAAATAAATATATTCCCCCGACATCTTGAGATAGTTCTCTACAAAACCATTTATTCATTAGAAAGAAAACCTTCATCTGACTTACATAATTTTCCTGAAGGCTTTTCTGCTAAGGTTTATCTAAAAGCCATACAACTTTTGCCAACTCCATTAAATGTAGCACACTTCTCAACATTTCTAGCTTTCATTCCTTAGAATTTTTGCAGTTCCTCCTTTAATATCTTCTTCTCTCATGCAATGTATTTGAACCTTGTAGATAAATAAATATAAAAATGTAGTTCTCACTTTTCCAATCTGTTCATGTTGAGGGGCTCCTCCAACTACTTCGGTAGTGAACCTACTCCGAAAATGACCAGCTCCAACCGAGTATCCTTCAAGAAAATGGAGACAAGTATGAGTAAAGTATACTGCAATGGGCAAAATACATGTATTAACATAAATCCACTCAGAATTAAATGAGACTGAATACATAATGATGACACAGAACAGTCTTAAGAATATTTATCAGAGCAATACACAAAATTGGTAATTCATTATATGCTTTAAGCAATTATTAATAATGTGTATTATGAAACTAGTCATGTGGCTTTTATTTTCAAGTCCTAGAAACAGAAGATAGCACTTTCACATTTGGTCAGTCTCTGTAGTATCAGGGCATTCAAGTTCCTAGGATTACCATGGAAATATTGTAGAGTATATAAAATATGACATTTTAAACTTTAAGTAAAAAGCTTCCTAAATTACAACTTTTTGCCATAAAATCTTCCTATTGTGATAAAATACTATGATGACAGAAATGGGAAAATATTTTTATTTTATTTTATGTGATAAAAAAGCATAATACTGAGTTACATTTTATAAAACTTGAAGATATCCTTCACCCATAAACAAGTAAATTTGAATGGTAAATAAATTCCCTCTGTTTGAAAATGAATTCCTTCTGTTTGAATGGGAAAAATAATACTGCTTTTTCTTTTAATTTTTTCTGAGTATAGGCTGCTCACATTTGAAGCACATATGGTTTAAGCAAATCTGTACTTTCTAAGAAACTATAGGAAAAACATTCCTTTTACTATAATAGGGGAATTAATGCCAGAAAAATCTTGTGCTTCTGTTGAAACACAGACTATAAAGTATCCTACTGCTAACTTATTAAACAAGAATAAGAATAAATATAAGAATAAGAAGATAAAAATAGTTAAGCTCTGGGAAATATTCTAAGAGCTTAGGAGGCAAAGGCCAATGCGCTGTTTTTAGACCTGTAAGCTTCATAATGTTGCCCATTGTCTAGAATGCTGTGGACAGTCTGACTTTGTCAATCCTTTAAGAAATGATACTCACTCACTCTTATATAATTAAATGAGTTAATCCATGTAAAGTGCTAGCATAAGTTCCTAGGATATGGTAAGCACTCAATAGATGCTACCTTTATAATAATCAGTTGACTACATAAAGAGACAAGCTTACAAGTGTTTTACTGCAAAGAGTAAACAATTGGCAGTAAATGAGCAACTCCAGTTTAAGAGGTACATATTGATGATTGTAGTTACATATGTAAAGTATGAAGTTACCTAAAGCTTCATAGATTGTATTCTTAAACTGTCTTTTTAATTACCTCTGGTCATTTTGATCTTTCGAAAATATCATTTCCCTTACTTATAATTACTAGTATCTGTAATTAAGTATCTGTATCTGTAATGTAAGAAAGACCAAAATTTGAGTTTGTCAATTTTTACAGTACCTAAGTAACTTCCAAATTTTACTTGATTGTGTTTGTCTAAAAAAGCCGTGTATTTATTTTTAATTATATTGTAGACAAAAATAGACCCAGTCCAGTAAGATGATCCTGGAGCTCCCATGACAATTAAATCCTGTAAGAAATAAACAAGTTATCATTTAAGAGTTTAATCTCACCACCCCAAACATCTTCTAGATATACATTTTAAGGAAATAGCGACAATAATACATTGTTGTAATAAGTTTCTTAAATTTGAGCATTTTATGAATATAAAAACACATTAGGGAAAAAAAAACAGCCAGAGAATCTAGCTAATGAATTTTCACCTACAAGTAGAGAAACTGTCTCTTCACACTTATCAGTGGACTTAGAAATCAAAGACAGAATCATTGGACACTAGCTAAGCTTTCAGGAGAAAGGCATTGTGGCTTCCATTAAAGTAAATCATATCTGGGTAATTCATTAGTGCACATTACAGAGATAATCATGTTTTGCCAAATTGTAAAAAGTAGACTTAATTTATTTCAATTTGCAAAAAGTCATTAACTAATTTCCTTAACAATGTTAGCTTAGAAAAAGTCCAATGAAATGTGAGGTATATTTGATTACAAATACGAATTTAGAAAAAGGAAACAGAGGGAAGGTTGGAATGCATAGACGGTTATCTAATAAAATATGAAAACTTTCAGCACTCAAAACTATTCAACATATTTCTAAATTTCCTCACATTTTTCAATCCTGAAGTTCATAAAAAAAGCTCAATTTAAATCCTGAACTTAAAAAAGGTCAATTTAAATAATACACTAAAGAAAGCATTACTTTTTATTTTTTTACACAGTAGGTAATAGTTATGGAAATTGTTAACCCAAGGCTTGATACAGACTTTCTACATAGATTCAGAAAACATTCATAAATTCATAATTGGTTTTTAAGGAAAACTGGGAAATTTTGGAGGTTGAGTACAACTGTAATCTTTCACTGGGAGTCACAGAGTTAGTTACTGGATGGTAGAAAGAGAATAATAGAGTTTGGGAATATATCTGACTTAAGAGGTTATTAAGTTCTTGAATTTCCCAATTCTCATAGTTTTAATGAAAAGTGTGAATTCACATGCTTCCTTGCCCCCTCAACAAGTAAAAATAACATACTTAGATATTTTCAATGCATAAGTCAACAAAACAAATAATTACAGCTACTTTTAATTTATGTTAAATTCTTGGTGAAAGTAATATTTTTTAGTATAGACTTCTAGTTGATCTTGTGGGGCACAGCCATCTAATATTAAGATTTCCTTAAAATACATGTGAAATATTGACTGGTAAAACTTAAGCTGTAATACTGAACTTTCTAATTTAAGAGACATTATTCAGATGTTGCAAAATTTTTACTGTAAAGTATAACATCAGTCTTCTAAGTCTTCAGAAGAATTAAAATTCTACATAGCAGCTATTTTTTTATTACCTCTGTGTAAAAACTAGATATTCCAGCTTGACAGGAGGCAAAATTTTCTCCATATTTTTTCACATAATCTAAAATGAAGTAGGAAAAAAACTTCAGGATTTCATTTAAAAATAGACAAAATCTGCATAATTTTATCTCTCAAATCCTGACAAATATAGACCATTTAAAGTCTATATTTTACACTACTTGATTTTTAAAATAATAGTAACTTTGACAAAATTTAAAACTGCAAATCTCTTCCATATTAACCTTCAAAGTATCCCTTTGAAAGAGCAATAAAGATACCCACCCCTGTCTCTTTTTCCTGGGGAGAACATACAGTATACACTCAAAAAAAAAAACAACAACAACAAAACAAACAAAAAAACCCTCAAATGAGTGTCTAAGACAGGAGTCCAAGTTTCTATTTAAAATAGGCTTCTGGACCTTGCCAGAGTGCTGCTGGTCACCGAGGCAAATATGGTGGACCGGCAGGGCCAGAACCTCCCCCTGCATCTCTGGGAAGCTCTGTGGTGGCACCAGCCTGCCTCAGATCTTCTGCAGGCCCCACAGCTCTGGCTTGCAGAGAGGAGCTTCTCCCAGATCTGGTTGTTCTGTGGGTCCATGCAGCCATCTAACTGTCCCTGGCTCTCCCCTTTGTCTTGACACTAGGGCTGAATGCTGGGGTGGAGGAGGTGACTAGGCCAGGACACAAATGAAAAAATATTTGAATGGAGCTCCTAGCTCTGCCACCAACCAGTTTTTGACCAATGACAGAAAATGAGAAGAAAAGGCATTCACAGATAATGACTATTGACCACATTAATTTGCAAATATGGACATTTGGGATCAGAAATAACATAAAAATCTGAGTTTGGGGCCCTTCTGCTACCAGAGGGCTGAAAGATTCTAAGAAAATTATATGATATCACTGGTTCAAAGTTTTCTCCTCTATAAAATGAGAACATTTGACTCAATTGCCAAAATTTCTTCTACATCTAAAACTCTATTGAGTCTATTGTCTAATTTCATTTTTTTCAGTATATGTGATCACCCACCAGAAATCACTTGCCTGAGGTTGAACATATTTTGTTCCAACATTCTTTTAATTGTAGTTCCTCCATTACAAAATCAACAGGAAAAAAATAGGCTTCCTAGATTTTTCTTCCTAGATTCTGAAAATAAGACTAAGGCAAGATCTGCGTGGAGACAGAGGGTCTCTTAATACAAGGACCCCATGAATGGATGCTTTTGGAATTTGCTATGAAGACAAAGCTTTGCTTCTCTAGAAGAACTGACATAAGTAAACCGCTATGAAAATATGAATCAGGACCACATCTTTGCCCTTTGGATTTGCTAAGTAGAAAATTTAAATCAATTGCTAAGTCATTTATAAGTACTATACTCTGTCATGATTTTTCACTCCTTTTCATATCTTCCCTGATCCTATTTTTTTCCTTTTTTATAAATTTCCCTATAATTTTAGGTGTCTGATGTTCATGCTATCTTGAAATTTTATAGAATGTGGCTAGGTATATCTGAGCAAAAATCAAAACTCTATTGTGAAAATGTTTCAAAGCATAAACTATAAACCATTAGGAAGAAGAGGATAAAATATATGCAGAAACCTAGACTGAGTTTTACCACAATTAAGAATTTAAAATTCACCTTGCATCTTCTTGACATCCAAATACAAATCAGGAATATATATGATATAAGCTTCTCCACGACATCAAATGCCAGAGAGGAAATACCCCATTATTAATAGAATCAGTAACTGAATTTGCTTATCTATCAAAAATTTGTCATGTAACAGATATTTTCTTTAGAGACTGAGGTAATCATTTTAGTTAGAAAAGTTGGAAATTGGAGTGTGTGTGTATAATGCTGAGTTTTCCAAAAACACATTTTAAGAATTTTTTCTGCTGCAGATATAATTTTTAGTGCTCCGTTGAAATTCACCCTTAACTTTTTCCAATTTAGTTGTTTATTTACGCCCTAGCTCTGTATGCATTAATGCTACCTATGTGTGGTCTAGAATTTTTATGGGAAAGCCTTTCAAACTTAAGACATCAATCCTTTGCTGCTTCAGGAAAAGCATGTGAATTTGAAAAAAAAAAGACATAGTAAGTGGAAAATATTTGCTTCCATTATTCTTGAATCTTTCAAATATTCTTTGCAGCTAAAGGTAAACCAAGAAATGTATGCAGTTTCCTTCTTTCTGATCAGATTTTCAATGTAATTTCATGATTTTAAGTGCCCTACATTTGTTAAGCATTAGATTCTTTTACAATGAATTGAAAATATATTTAATGCAAAAGTGGGTAATTATCAACTAGATTCTAGCATTGTTCAAATTGAACTATAAAATTTCCTAAAAGCACAAAGTGTATTTATGAAAACTAATACTACAACTGAGTAAAAGAGAAAAGAATAATTTGAGTAGTTAAAAAAAACACACAGCTATTTCAAAGATCCCCTCCCCATACATCTAAAATTGAAAATAATTTTTAAAAACATTAAGTCATTCACTTGTTTTTCTTGATCCAGTTAATATCAAAATCATCTTACCTTGATAACATGGAGCTATCCTTTTACTCAGTTCTGTCCGTAAATCAGAGGGCATCCCATAGCAAACGCCCGTGGGAAGTTTATTTTCATTCTTTATATAAAATATATTTTTCCATCTATGCCCACAAGTCTGAATAAAACATAAAAGTAGACCAAATGATGTGAAGGTCACACCCAGAATATCTGATTTCAAGATGTGATCAGTGGACCAATTCCAATAACCTACCACGATGGATCCATTTTCTCCTGGCTGTCTGGAAAGTGTGACCCCCAACCATTGATTGTCTCTTTCTTCCAAACAAGTCTTTCCACAAGGTTCTCCACCAGGGCTACCTATGGCATGTGAAAACATGATCATCAGCTACCCTGAACACCATGTTATTCTAGGCAAACGGAGGAAACGAACACATCATACTTTGCCCAGTGTTTTTTCCTTCAACCACCTGTGAAATGCCCTCATCTCCCACTTCTCCACCATCGTATATTCAGTGCACAATGTGGCAGTAACTGCAAGTTACTCAGTGCCAACCTGTTTTCTCATAAGGTGATTTTTTTTTTGTAGAAATGACTGCATCGTGAAAAGCTGGCCTTGAAATAAGAGGTAACTAGCCAACTGGGAGGGGAGAAGACCAGTTTACACCAACATAGGCTGTGCAAATACAATGGCAGTGTATAATGCTTGGCAAAGAATTCACACCTTTGTTTTGACCAGTTATGTAGCATAACTGGCAACATTATCAGAACACTTTTTAAGATGTTTCTTGTATTGAGACATTAAGAATACAAGACAATAAAGAGAGTATGGTCTTCAGCACTGAAATCGCAGTTCATTGAAGTTGAAGGTGATGACTAAGCATGTGGAAACTGGCAGTGTATAATTAGCATGGTAATAAACGACTAGCATTAAAAACAAACTTCCCTATGGTTTACAGTTGATTGTGGTTGTTCTCAATAAAGGAAAAAGGAAAGACTTGAAAAAACAGACCACTTCAGTAGTAAATAAAAAACTTCGAAAGGCACTTTGGCAAATGCATGAATAGCCAGAAAACCAAACACAAACAGAATATTACTTGTGGGCAATTCAGCACTCCCAAACTGTGCAAAAGAAAGTTATCTACACATTGATACCTTTTTCTTTTGTTAGAGTAGCTTCTTTGCCTTATAGCTGGAACCTGGTGTTAAAGTGATTTCAATTAAGTGATTTTTGAGGAAAAAAAGATACAGCTATCTTAAGATTCCTTTTGCTATTTGTATTTCACCCTCTTCAAATGCATGTGACCGTCCTATTCCACCCGAGCTTAATTCCAAAGGCAGATAAATACATTTGCATTAATTTGATTGGAGGAATGTGCAACTTGGGTTTACTTCATTCTGAACACTGGTCACTGCTACCACGCTTTCATACATTTATAGGAACCATTGTCTAAATCACGCACTGTCTCCTCCTATAGCCTTGACCACTAGATAAAGCTTTCTGGGCAAACTCAGTGTACCTACATCAAGAAGGCTAATATTTTAAAAATGAAATTATTTTCAGATAAAATCCTGAGTAGGAGAGATTTTGTTCTAAGGAATATAGGAAGATGATTGTGTAGACACTTGTTTGCTCTCCAAAAATCGTATTATTCAGAAAAAAAACAACAAAAAACCCTCAACACAGCTCAACTGAAGGAATCTGCCTAGCCCCCTCTCTGAAGATTCTGCTTTAGGAGGTCCAGGCGAGGCTCTGCCCACCCCTGATGATTCACATGGTCTCGAACATTGTTATGACAGAATGTGGATAATGTTGTTCTGGCCAGATTTCTTGGAGAGTAGTGACCACTCCCACCTACTGGTAGCGGCTGCTTAGAGCACCACACAGAAAGCAAGACGGCTAAGCATGGGTCTGGAAGAAGAATGCCGCGGCTGATTGACAATATCTACTTGGAACAGAAAGAGAATCTTGCCACAGCCCAAACCTTGGTAAGGGTTGGTCTGGTGGAAACATAAGGTCTATAAGTTAAGACTAATTAAAAGGAAAAGGGAAGGAAGGGGAACAGGGAAGGAGGGGGAGGAAAAGAATTTTATTGTATGGGTAGGGTAGATAAGGTCTTAGGCAAGGTTGTGACTGCAGCTACACGATGTCAACATAATTGAAGGAAAGTGAAAGAGAATGACAAGAAATTTTAATTTTTGTTGTGATGTAATTTTCAGTTTGACTTTTCATTATAACATTGCCAGTTCCTTTTTTAACTAATGCCAACAATAGATGATAAATGGTACTCTGTTTACCTGAAGTTGAAGTTCCTATTAGTTACCACAATAGATACTTCCGTGAAATCTCTTCTATGAAAATACTGAAGTTTTCTAAATTTACAGTCACTCAGGCAACCAAGCAGGAGAAAAATTAGGGAGAGGAGGGGAAGGAGGTCACAAATAACATATTACTAGTAAAATGTGGTGTAAGATAATGGACACTTTCTTTCATCAAAAGTATACTCGATACTTAGGAATAAATTTACTCTTCTAGAGATGCCATCCAAAGATTTAAAAATAATATATTTATACAATAATTTAGAACTACACAATACCATGTACATTACTTCAGAAAAATGACCAAAAAGTTCCTATATGGAAGTATAGTGAATTGTTTTTGTCTGTTTCTTTGCTGAGTTTTTGTAACACTTAAAATGAAGACGAGAGAAACTCATGTGTGATTAAACTGTTTTCTGGAGAAATAGATCCCACATAGTATCCGGGGTTTTTATCGTTTCTATTCGAGCGCCACCAGGTGACATTCCATGTCATCACTGCTCGGAATCTCACACTTAGGTTCAAACACATCAAAACCAAACTACTCACTTTACCAACTGCACTTCTCTCAAACATCTTATTCCCCATGTCTGAGTATCTCTCAGATCTTGGGGACTTGTATCAATGCCCTCCTGCCTCTCCCCCCACTCCCCCAGCCCCTCACTTCCCAGGCCTTTGGCCACAATTATACCAGCTTTCCTGCTTCCTGGCTTGCAAATGGCAGCCTTCGGGACTATCTCAGCCTCCATAATGGAGGGAACCAACTGTAAATCTCCCCCCAGTTAGACAGACGGATAAATCTATCTACCTGCCCCATTGGTTCTGTTTCTCTGGTGAACCCTGACTAATACATTATTTATTCAAAACTATCCCGTCTACTTCCAAGGCTGAGTAAATAATGGCCTAATTTATTTTGACCAGTACTATGTCTTGTTCATTATTAGCCCACCCCCACTCAACACATTGCTTGGAAAAGTGTGCTGAAAATGGAAGGTCAATAAATAAACAACAATTCAAAACTTGGACTAGAGTTTTTGGTTTGTCTAAGTGTCTTCTACCTGTATTTTGTATCTTAATTTGAAATGTAGATACAAAAGGATAAATACACAGGCAAAAAGGAAATTCACAAAACAAAGTCATAAAACAATTATCCTTCCACATAAGTAATAAAACTAATTCTAGTAAGTGAACAAACACACAGACTCACATCTGTACAGGTTTCTCCTTTTCCTTCTGACATACCTTCTGCCAGCCATGCTAATACCTTCAGCATTGGTTACAAGACAGGATCAGTTCCAAGTCCCCACTACCACTGAGTCTTTTCTTAATTTCCAGGAACTTTTTTTAAACAGTTTTCTTCTGCAGTGCCTGCAACCCCTTGGCAGAGAAATAAGACCTTCTCTAGAGCTTTTCCTTCACCTTGCTTGCTCCTAAGTGCACTCCTTTATTACGTGGTTTCAGCCTTGACTAGTCATCAGCATCACCTGGGGAGAGTTCTGAACAAACGCTGATGCCTGGTTCCCATTCCCAGAAGCTCAGGTTTGATTGGTCTGGGTGGAGACCCAGACGTCAGGATTGTCTAAGAAGCTCCCTGGGTAGTTGCACTGTGCAGTTGCAACTTTGTGCATTTGGGCTTGTGAGCAACTGCTCTCCAATGTAAATAGTTATGCCTTTTCCTATATTATAGCACACTGGAAAAGAAACTACTTCCTTTGAAAAATAATAGTAGTACCTTTTTGTCCTCCTTGGTTTCAGCTAGATATTGAAATAGGATATCAAGAGTTAATAAAATTTTCTTCATGTGGAAGTCCAGTATTTCTAATTTGACCAGAAATGATGTTATTAAAAGTGTCATGAGAAAGTTAATTCTCATGAATTTCCCCGACACACATCATAAATAAACTCAGATTATATTTTACCTAAATGCCATGCTAAAATGATTTATAATCTGGTTTTCAACTTAGCTCATATATTACTAACCTAAACTCTTAGTAAAAAAAATCACCTTCTTAACTGAAGAAGTACTTTACATGGTTTAACATAAAAGGTCAGCAGAAATTAACATGTGATAATTTTCCATGCTTTTATACAACCAGAATGACTAATTCTTAGCACAGTTGAATGCATTTTCCCAGTAGGCATTAAAAATACAAAGCCATATAAAAACCATTCCCCTTATTCTAAAAATGAAGCCCATCTTTCTCTTTTTTGTTTTTCATTTGGGAAAGAAAATGTAAAGATGTATGCTACTACTTCCATATTTTTAATTTTCAACAACTGATTTTTTAATCAGTAGACGTACATGTATATAAATGTGAATAAGCAGTAATTTTGATAGGTGAATATAAAGGATGGTAGTACAAAGTCAATTAGGTAGCTTTTTTGAAATCACACATTTTTGTTGTTGTAATTCTTTATTGTTCATTGTCCCAAGTGCCAAGGGTACATATTCATCTTGAACATCACCTCCATGAGGGAAAATATTTTGTTGCATGGCTTTCCCACAGCACAGAACATGGCCTTAAGTGCAGAAGGCAAGAATGAAATGTGTATTTGCTGAGGGAGGGAATTCTGAAATACAGCATATCACCACCAAAATCCTTTACTACATTTACTGTAGCAATTTTCAACTATTTTCATCCCATGGCACACATAAATTACTAAAATTCTGCAGCACACCGAAACATATTTTTTGCCAATCTGACAAAAATTAGGTATAATTTTGATTCATTCACATTGGATAGCTATTGTTGTTTTTGCTGTTGTCTTTTTTTTCTTTTTTATTCGACCATCTAAGGTGTGACATACTGCTGATATGAAAATCGCTGCTTTACTGCAAAAATTTCACCAAAATATCAGGAATCTGAACTTTGGAGAATCTTCTTCATTTTCTTCCTTCTCTTCCAAAAGATTGCCTTAAATTTTAAGATACTAGCAGATGGTCTGAAGGGAAACAGTGTTTACAGGTTTGAAGGTCTTTACAAAGTGGGATGGATATGTGAGTAAGATTATTTAAAGCTCAAAGTCAGCTGGGGCCCATA